TCCTGGATGGTATCCAGGGTGGGGAATGCTTGCTCGTCCACAACGAGCTTATTAAGGGCCCACTCCTTGGCCTTCCCGGTGAGGCGGGAAAGAAGGAAGTTGACATTCGCCTGAGGTGCCTCAAGAAGTCTCGAGGAGATCGCAATATCAACTTCTCGGAACCACCGGATCAGCGACAACCGGCCCTTACCTTCTCCAGAGTAGGAGGAGGTTTCCATTTTCTTGGCCTCAATACGTGAAGGTCGCGAGGGAGTTAAACCTTTCCGGTTGGATTCGGCGAGCTCGCGTGCCATAAATTCGTGTATGGCGAGAAGTTGTGCGTCAGGGGTCGCTGATCACATCAGCGACACGACGAATGCCTCTCCCGATATCGCCGCGAGGCGATTAAGGGCATCCCACACAAGACTACTAAGATAAGGGAAGGTCGCGTGCTCCAGAAATAAATCTGGAGCGTCAAGGTAAGACGATTCACTCATCCAAACTCGGGCATAGGAATGACTACGAAGTGCTACCAGGTGTAACGGGGCTAGAACGTACCATCACTAGCTTACACGCGCGCTTGAGGAAGACTCAAGCCCAAGTATTAGGTATTAAGTAAATTTAACTCTGATTTTATATTTTGGTTTTAATTCGTACTAATCACGAAGATTTTGGTCGTAATAAATACGACAGTGTTCCCGCCTTTCGGGAACCACACAATTTCAGGTCGATTTATCATTGGTCCATATTGGGACTTTAGGTCCCAATAATAAACCAATAATAAATTGCCACGCTGTGCCCGCTATTCGCGCCCAACACCTGTCTACATATGCAATTGTTTATTCGTGTTAACTATGTGTGTAATGTAGCCCATTACAGTATAAGATAAATAAACACACTCAAATTTGCTTTACACGTGGCAGCTCCAAGCGCTCTTTCCAAACTTCTACGACGCCTCACCTCTTCCGAGCGGGATATCCTTTGGCCTCCCGACGTCGGCAGGTGTTATACGGCTCAAGCTACGCAAGTTGAACCTCAGGATAGTTAACCTGAGGTGTCAAGTAAGTGTCAAGACTCTACGACCCGCTACAGGAAGCGTTTTCCCTACGGGGACAAAGAGAAAGGGGTCCATGGACCAAGAAACAGTTAGACCCCGAAAGGGGTAGGTGCTTTGCTCTCGGCACATTCAATTGAGCCCAAGAAATCCCGGGCCCGAGTGAAGTATTTCCACTCGTGGGCCCCCAAGTCCCTCCATACAAGGATCAAGTCAATAAGTCTTCTGCGTTTAACGAGGAGCAAGACCAGCCAAGCCGACGGGTAAACAAGTTGAGACCCAAGGTTGACGCGACACGGTATCGGGGTACTTCCTCCGTAAGTCAGCAGTCCGGCGCTGAGTGTGTTTCTATTTTTTTTACTTCGCTTGAGAATTTACTCCGCTACATGAATCACCAAGGCTTTTTACAGTGCGTACAGTGAAGGGAGAATGGAAGGTTCGGTTGCCACCGTGGGACCCGGACCTCCAATCTTATCCAGTAGGGCGCTCTGCACCTACTAATTCTGACCAGTTTTTTGACTTGCGGCCGGTACACCGCCCTCATGATGGGCGTCTACCTCATCCGCCGATATCGGCGCTGGCGCGAGATCTCAGCCGCGCGATGCCCTGACTTGCGACAGCGAGAGAAAATCATTTGAAGCCCGGTGCGAGCAACCCTATGGGGGTGGATCGTCGTCGGTCACCCGACGACTCAATCACATCGGTCTTCATAGGTACCGGACCAGAAGTCAAATAACGGTGACAATTGAGGGCGAAGCGTAGGCCTTGGTGAACCTTAAGTCCTCACGGAGGGCAATGACAAATGCCTCCTCCAATGTGGTAGGATCCCCGCGATCGAGCGATAAGCGAATGAGCCTCTTATGCATTCATTCACAAAGACATTCACCTGCGTATACATGCTCATGGTGTGTGTGATGATACACGACGCCAAATGCCGAGCCATCTGCACGTAGTCGCTCATCGCCATTTATCCTGTCGCATAGACAGGAACCTTAAACTTACCAATTCCCCCATTTGCGGTAGCTCGAAGACATGACGAAATCCGTCCTGGATGACATGACGAAATATGTCCTGGATGAAATCCACGGTGGTAAACTCCTTAAACACCGGATCAAAAATTGCCAAAAGAGGCACTTAAAAGCTTCAAAATGCCCCATAAAAACTACTTTGAGATATACAATTATTAACATAAGCTAATTACTGCATTAGCTTATAAATGTTCACCCAGTCAAGACAAGGACCAGACCAGTCGACACAAGGAAAAGGACATCAGGAACTGATAAAGTAAAAAGGTTAGAGGAAAGAACTTTGTGACGAAGCGAAATAATGAATTTTGCAAAGTGTGATCGCACATTTTCGGTCAAGTCCGAACTAATTAAAATCGATGAACCGCGATGCAGCAGAAGAAGTTCTCGAGACGTTACAAATGGAATGTACAACAGTGAACTGTGGTGCTCGCAGTCCTTTGTTAAATTAACTATGGCCTAAAATTACGCATTTGCGATCCCCAGTATTTTTCGATGGCGATCCGCGTGAGCGCGATCGCTAAGATTTAGAATCAGGAAGTCCAAGTATGTGGAACATGATGGTGTAAACGACATCATTCCGGAGGAATGGATGAGTTGTACATGTCATATCATGTAGATGGAACATTTCACATGATCCGGTGAACTGCAAAGGTGACAGTGACAAGCCGTGATCCGGCGGACTGCGATCCGATACTATCTGTTAGAGCCGCGATCCGATACTAAAAATGTGTTAAATCCGATTGAGGGAGCGATCAATATCGCGGCGATATTGGAGTGGACCACATGAAAAGATCTGATTTTTCCAAAAGGGCGATACGTGGCAATAGATCCTGAGCTACAGATAGGCAAGATCATAGGTTTGTATATTTGATTGGTTAACATTAAAGAGAGCTCAATTTACTTTAAAGGAACACGTGTTATCTTCTCCTCCGGGTTAGATTATTTGGCCACCCGACGTCGCTGTAAGCTTGCTTTCCTCGCAAGTGTACGCCCTATATTGTTTGGACAGGTGCGTCAAGGACTTTCAAGACACACCCTTTCAAGCTGCGATTGGACGCAGAGGACTAAGAGGTCCAAATACAAGATCGCGAAACGGCTAAAGTGGTCAGAAGCAAGCGGATTAAGTATCAACTAGTTGGACAAGGAGATCTCAAGGGAGATCAGGGCGGTCCAAGAGCTACTGCGATCTTGCGAGAAATGTTACTCGATCGCCTCCCACCTATTCCTAACACAATTAAGTTCAACATCGACTCAAGCCCACCTAGAAGAGAGCAACCCGCCCAAACGACGGGTTAACAAGATGAGGAAGGCTTTATACACGAGATCAGGGTACCATCTCCGTTAGTCGGTTGTCCGGACGTCAGTGGAGAGCCAGAATCGCATCAGCAAATTTGCAAGACTCACTCCACCACAATGATGCGCGTTTCCGGATCTTCTGGTGACTCAGGATTTCGCCGTGAGACCTTAATTGAGATAAGATGTAAAAGTCAGATTTGAGCCTGAGGTTGAAACGTAAGCGGCAGAGGGATCACCGCAGACATGTGAAAAACAAAGATCCCCGGATCATCAGCGTTTTGAGAAGGGCGCAGATGAAAAAGAAATTAAAGAGGAAGATCAAGAAATTGATCTGGAAGAAAATTTCTACCCCCCTCCAGAATCTTTAGGGACCCCTACGGATCGCGTTGCAAAACGCGATCCGCTGGATAAATATCCTTCGGTTGAAAAGCCGAGAAAAATTTATCCAAAACCAATCCCCCCTCGTTGAAGAAAGTCGTGTTGTAAGACTCAAGTGCGAACTGAACCCTACGTGGCACGACTTCGTCGCGTTCAATGGAATTTTCCTGATCTACCCACCTTTTCCGGGAAAGAGACCCGATAGAGACAGTCGTGTAGCTAAATTCAAATGCGAATATAACCCTAAAATATACCTGTCCTGTGGGTTTGTTTGAGTAGCAACTCCCCCTAGACCCGCTATCGGAAGCAATCTCCCCCACCTATCGGTCCGGGAGCAAAGTAAAGGTCAGGTGGTTAATACCCCTGAAAAAACAAATAAAAAGGACAGGGAGGACATGAGCCTTGAAGAGTTTAGTTCTAAGCTCTTTTTCGACAAGGTCGATCGAGTGGCCACCCACTGGCTCACCGAGTGAAGCATATTCACTCGAGGCTCCCCAGGTCTGCCTCTTTCAAGGCAGACAGCTACAACTTCACCCAAGTCTTTGAAGAAACTAACCCGCCAGCCGAAGGGTACGCAAGGTGAGAGAAGGTACATACGCAGCATCGGGATACCCCCTTCGACAGTCGTCAGTACGGCACATTGAGTGGCTTGAGTTTTCATCATAAAATTTAAAGTCCACTTAAACACATTTACAATTATAACATCCTGTTTTGCATCACATACTAAAGCGGCAACTTGCTTTTTAATTTCTTACCTAAGACGGCGAGTATTCTTTACGAAAGATCCTGACTCTTTCCGTTCAATCCTCTTCCACACTTGCTTCTTGTAGAATGTGATGATTTGTCTAATTTATCTCCATGCGTCGAAAATTTCACAGTCTTTAGCTCAATTTCCGATAGCTGTTAAGATTTTAGCCAAGCTCGAAAAACTAAATTTGTTTCTTCATAGTCCCTCCCAAAGTGTACAGCAGCTGTGCATGCTGATCGAAATCAGGATTGGCTGGACCTCGAGGAACCCAGTTCATTCGAAGATAGACCAGGGCTACCGATAAGGGACACAGGTGCACCGAAGAGGGGCCCATGTCTACCGAAGAGGTACCGAGGTCTACCGAAGCAGGGCCGAGGTCGACCGACGAGGGATCGAGGTCCCCCAATGAGGGTCGAGGTCCACAAATGAGGTACCATGGCCTACCGTCCAAGGTGTTTTTTATTGGAGTAACATTCAACCTATTAGAAACCTGTCTTTTTCGTTGGTTTTCCACGCGTCACCGTTTCGTGAGCTTGCTGTTCCTGCTACGCGCGTACACCGTTAAACCTTTAAGCATGGCTAAAACACCCATTGAGCACATACCGCCGAGTGCAAAACTCAAGGCAAATTTTGATGGTCGAACCATAATCTACCAAGACATCCGGAAGTACTATATAGCATTATACAACTTGCTCTCTCTCTCTGCCACAAAGCCCCATGTACGTACCAATGGTAAGAAAATAACTGCCATGCCAATGAACAGCATCCCAAGCATCGCCATGCCGACAAAATACTTGAATCTTGTATGCCTTGTATCAGTACATTGCATTAGTCCTTTTTTCTTCCCTCATTCATTCTCAATGACGTAATCACGCACCAACTCATGGTTGAAGTTCGTATACTTTGACCAGTAGACTCTCTCTCCCACATAAACGGCCACTTAACCGCTGTTTCATTGTTTGTTGTCTTGTTTATCTGTCCATTTTCCATGACGTCCGCTGTGTCATTAGAAACGGTCGGAGTCTCCACTGCATTTTTCGTAAGGTCGCGTGCCGTGTTCCACGCCTTTTTCAGCGAGAAACTGGCGCTACTTTTGATATCGATGCTACTGCTGGACACGGTAGATAAAGAATACGTGCGTAATAAACTATGAAAGACGTCCTGGGTGTCCTGCAATCCGCTTGACGTCGGTTTCTTGCCTTCCCATTGTTCCGATGCGCTCATTATTTAGAAATTTTAAATATGAACAGAATGATGGTCGACTGACGTCGTGCATATGGATGGTACCATGTACCACTCTATAGTCCTCACCGTCGTTTCAAATGGCTACATCTACATTGTGACTGAAAAAAAGAATGCCAAGTCAGACAAGAAAAAAATCGTTCTTTATTTAGCGGCCACAGGGCATCGAACGATACTCGACGGAATGTAAGCAGGTTTCAATTCCCATATACAGAGATTGTAGAGCTGATCCTTGTCAAAACTGGTGAATGATCGATTCGTGGTCATTGTCGAAACGTGAGTACAATCGAGTCAGCTCAATGTATTGGAGACCGTGCCTCCCATTAACTTGAAGTTGAGTTGCGCATGGCTGGTAAAATAGCGTCGGAGAGCCGACACGAATTGGAGGCAATATACGACTCGGCTAATGTCGTCTCTTCGTCACAACTGAAGGCATAACCCGTAGTACGTTGATTCGTTGTTGTTGGATGGAACATCGTTGTTGGAACGCGATTACCGTCCTTGGACATAGAGTCGCGATATACACTGGTTGAATAGCTGTCTTGGACGCCGGAATTGCCGAATAGTGCAAATGTACCGGCAGTGCTTGACAGACTCTTGTTTCGCTGCTGTTCATGGTGCTGAGCCTTGACAATCTTGTTGTCAAGACGACGCTTCGAGATGTATCCACATGCCGGTTTGGTATCCGTGTTTGTGACGTCATCGTAAGACGTTAAGGAATGGCGTCATAGATTGACGTCATTGTTGAAGCATTGAAGCTTCTACAAAAGGATAGGCTTAGAGGTAGCTCTTTGTGAACTAATGACCTATATATAACCACTTTCCGTTTTATCATCAAGTTGTTAAGAACCTCCATTTACTTTAGGTTATAAGCCCAAGCCCCGCAGACTCTGCCCAAGACCTAACGCCTTCGATATGGAAAACACGCTGAACACGCGCATCGGAAAGTTCGACGGAACTAACTTTCACACGTGGAAATTCAAGATGCAAATGGTGCTATAAGAGCGTGATCTGTGGGACGTCGTCAGTGGAGAGGTTAAGCTGGAGCACTGCGCTAACGCGTTGGACCAGAAAATTTACAAGAGGAAGTCGCGCAAAGCACTAACAATCATCTGTCTCGCGATGGAGGACTCGCAGCTACCGCTTATCCGGTCGGCAAGTGGCGTGCATGATGCATGTTCACGACTGGAAGGAAGCTTCGAGAAGAGGAGCCTCGCTAACAAGCTATTTCTTCGTCGACGCTTCATCACAACGATGATGGAGGAAGATGATGGTATGCTGGAGAATATCAACAAAGTCAAGACCCTGGCGGAGCAGCTCGACGTGGTTGGTGCTTCGGTCAGCGAAGACGACTTGGTGATCACGCTTCTTGGAAGCTTGAGTGAGTCGTACCATCTCCTCATCACGGCATTGGAATCGCGTTCCGATACACTGCCGTGGGAGCTAGTGACGTCTCGGCTGCTGCATGAGGACATGAAGCGTAAGGAACAAGGTGGTGGCATCGACGGAGCTGCGCCAAGGTCAAGTGCTCATGACAAGTGGCAACATGAAGAGCAAAGGAAGGCAGGCAAAGAAAGCGTGTGCTTGTCATTATTGCGGTGAGCATTGGATCGCCAAGTGTCCAATGAGGATTCAAGAGAACTCGCAGCGAAAGAGGACGCAGCGAGCGACAATCGCGCAGAGTGAAGACTATTCTGGCGACTATTTGTTCTCGGTAAGTGGTATAACGGGTGTTACAAAGTCAAGCGGAGTGTGGCTGGTCGACTTAAATGCGACGCAGCACATGACAAATTCCAAAACATTTATGAAGAACTTTAAGAAGGTAATTCCCGTGGACGTGCATTTCGCAGACGATGGTATAGTCCAAGCTGTGAGAACCGGCGACATTGTCATGTCAACGAAGACAGCACATGGTGTTAAGTGGGGTTTACTGACGAACGTGTGAAGTTATCTAAGAACTTGTTTTCAGTCGAAATATTTACTAAGGACGTATGGCCAGTAAACTTCGAGTGCGACGGATGCTTCGTGATTACGAAAGGTCTGAAGTGGAAGCTCGGTACTCGCGAAGAAAAAGGTCTTTCTAAGCTGTGCATGACGCCGATGATGCCTGACGAGGCCAATGCAGCAAATTCGAAGGATCGCAAAAGGAACACCACTTCGTACCTCTGGCACCTTCGACTTGGCCACATCGGCTATGGAGGTCTAAGCGATATGGTAAAGAAGAACTACGGGATAGGCATCGACATCAAGTCGGTAAAGCAGTGGGAGCTTTGTGATGGATGCGCTCTTGGCAAGCAAACGCGAGTCAAATTTGCTAATTCCTCGCCAATCTATTCTACGGAAGTTCTGGGAGTAAATCACAGTGACGTGTGCGGTCTCATGAAGACTTCGACGTTAGGGGACAAGCGCTTTTTCGTCACATATATTGACGACAAGTCGCACTTTTGCGTGGTGTACTTGATGCGAAGCAAGTCCGAGGTAGCGACCAAGCTTGCGGAGTTTGTTGCGTTGGATGAAACCCAAACTGGTCAACGCATCAAGACTTTGCGCAGTGACAAAGGTGGCAAGTACACTTCAGGAGCGATGGCCAAGCTTTGCAAGGATCGCTTCATTGAGCAAAAATTTAGACCCCCGTATACGCCTCAGCTGAATGGAGTGGCAGAACGGACGTACCGTACGCTGGTGGAATGTGCCCGCTGTATGCTGGAGAACTTCGGATTGTCTATAACGTATTGAGGCGAAGCAGTGATGACGGCCACGTTTCTTCGAAACCGTTGTTCGACACGCGCCATCGGGCAAGACAAATCCCCGTACCAGGTATAGAAAGGCAAGAAATTATTGTTTTTAAACCTCAAGGTGTTCGAATGCCACGCGTACGTGCATGATCCGAAGGAAAAACGGTCCATAATTGACTCAGAATCGGTGTGATGTCCTTGCCTCGGGTATTCGAAAGATGCTAAAGCATATCGGTTCGAAGATCTGGACAGCAGTCGCTTGTTGATAAGCCGTGACGCTCAGTTCATGGAAGACGCTTTTAACGGTGGGAAACGTGAATATGCATATTTGTGGATCTACAACATGAAGAAGAAGATGCCCCAGATTCAGATTTTTTTGTCCAGTTCTAGCGAAAACGAAGACGAATCTGCGCGGGAAAAAGATTTTGCCCCCGGCAGCAAGCGACACCCGCGGACGCAGTCACTGGAAAACGCTACTGAAACGCCGAGCGCCAAGCGCTACGCGTCGCAAATTGGTCGTCAGACACTGAAAGAGATGTCTGCAGCAGCAGAGGGAAGAGACGGGTATGAAAGTGCCTACGTCGTGGATTCAGTTGGAGAAATTCCGACTACGTTTCAGTCGGCAATGGAATCCAGCGACGCAGCTAAGTGGAAGGATGCGTGCGACTCGGAGATGGCATCGCTTTACAAGAACAAGACATGAATTCTCGTCCCACTACCAAATGGACGCAAGGCAATTGGCCACAGATGGGTGTTTAGCGTTAAAGAAAATCAATCAGGTGAGATTGAGCGGTTCAAGGCGCGACTTGTGGCCAAGGGATTTTCACAGAAGCATGGCATTGACTACGAGGAGACCTTTGCGCCGATGGCTAAATTAACATTTATCAGGATTTTGATCAGTTTGGCTGCCAAGTACAAGCTCACAGTGCACCAGATGGACGTGAAGACAGCATTCCTGCACGGACTTATAGACGAAGACATCTATATGGCGCAACCGGATGGCTTTATCGATCAAGGCCACCCAGACTTCGTGTGCAAGCTCAAGCGTTCACTGTATGGTTAAAAACAGTGACCACGCATGTAGAACATAGACCATCGATGAGTTTATGCTAACAATGAGGTTCAAGAAGTGTGAGTCAGACCACTGCATCTACTATAAGCGAGATTGCCAAGACATGACTTTTGTGGCGCTCTACGTCGATGATTTGGTTCTCGCTAGCAGCACAACAACATCCTCCAAGATAAAAATCAGGCCCTGCGTGACCGATTTAAAATGACTGACATGGGCAAGTAAGGTTCTTTCTGGAGATGGAGATCGATCAAGATACGGCGACGGGAAAGGTGTCTATTCGACAGACCAAGTTCACTAAAGACATTATGAGTAAGTTTAGCATGGAGAACAGTAAATCCGTCAAGACACCGCAAGATCCAGGGCTAAAGTAAACCAAGGACATGTGCGAAGGAGGCTGCAAACATGAAGAAACAATGGCAAACGTTTCTTATTAAAACGCAGTGGGATGCCTCATGTACCTAATTGTCGGCACACGTCCGGATCTCGCAGATGCAGTGGGAGTGCTGAGCCAGTTTCCAGCAGACCCGTGACAAACTCACTGGAAAGCACTCAAAAGGGTCTACAGGTACATTCAAGGAACGAAGAAACATGGCATTGAGCCAAGCGAACAATGAGAACGGGATCCAAGGTTACTTGGATGCGGTGACATCGAGTCACGAAGAAGTACAAGTGGCTACGCGTTCATGATGAACAGCGGATGTATCAGCTGGAGGAGCAAGAAGCAACGGACGGTGGCACTATCATTTACAGAAGCAGAGTACATGGCGCTGTCGGAATCAACGCAAGAAACGGTATGGCCTAAGGTGTTCATGTGTGAGATTGGTGAAATAGCGAAAAATGAAGCAGTCAAGATTTACGAGTACATTCAAGGTGCCATTGCGCTCGCCAAGAACTCGAAGTCCCACAAGCGCAGCAAACACATCGACAGCCGCTACCACTTCGTGTGTGAGAAGGTCGAAGATGCTTGAGTGGTGCTGGAGCATTGCCCGACACAAGACATGCTAGCTGATATCATGACAAAGCCCATTGCCGCGGTGCAGTTTGTAATATTCGAAACAAGTTGGGAATTTAAGCGCGGTACACCATCGAGTCGAGTGGGAGTGTTGTCAAGACGACGCCTCGATATGTATCCACATGCCGGTAAGGTATTCGTGTTTGTGACGTCATCGTAAGAC